GGCCTTCAGACATCCAGACGACCTGAAATCTGACTAAGTATCTTTTCTTTAAACCAAGCTAATCTGCTAAATGTGTTGTTGATTCTGCTCTTTTAAGTTAATTTGATTGGTAGTTTGCTTTAGCTCTTGCTTTTTAGTAACTGGACTGCCAGTTCTCGCTGTAGATTCTGCTATATTAAGATTAAATTGACTGCTGGCGTGCCCTTCTATCTTTGTTAGGTTTGACCTGATCTAACTCTGTTTTGTTTTCTCTTCTGAAGAAAAGGTTTGGCATATACCCCACCATGGATGAAAGCCTCAAGCTGTGTTCAAACCAAACGTGACGCAAATTATTGACAGTACACGATTTCCGACTGAGACTGGATTCGAATAGTCTTTTTTGCTTAGAAAGGTTCCTAACTGTGACTATAAAGTAGTTCCGCTGCTGGCGAAAACATAAAACGCACAACTTAAGAAATAGGCATAATACGACTCGCCCTTGTAGCTGTAAGCCCTACTCTTAAAGTTGTCTTCCTCACTCAAACTACTATAGCTCGTCGCGATATTGTTTGATCATTACAATGTGTCTCCATGGGAAGGTTTCCTCAAAAAAAAAGTATGATGTGAAGGCTGGTGTGAAGACTTGAAGAGATTGCGAATAATAACTTCCGGTTTTATTCTTCCCACTTTACTTCATTTCCCCCCACAGCTGAGTTCAGATTACCATCACCCCACCTGTATTTAATGCCCCAATTACCCACTCATCCATGTCAGGTTATCGGCCTACCCAGAGTTGTAGGTTTCAAGCCCGTTTTCCTGGTGTTTGTTTTTGGTCTTCCTGTTTTTTTTATTGCTAGGCCTTTTTCTTTCTCCCTCTCCAGCGTATTAGCGCTTGTGCCTGTGCTACTTTTTGGTTCGTTTTGTAAAGTTGACTTTTGCCAGTAAAAATCCCGAACTTGGAAAGAAATATTTTGTTGTATTATTACTCTGCCCTGAGTCTCAGTCCAGGGGTCCGTTTCAAGTAGGAGGTTTAACAAACTCTTGAGTCAAACCCTAGTTAAGCTGCTATAGGCTTAGAATGCCGGGGGAATTCTTAGGACACACCAAGCTCCTCTCTCACACTCTCGTTCTACCATAATTCAAGTTTTATTAATGCACATGACTAATTCAGCTTCTTTCCGGGAGTTTTTTTTTTGTGCTTTCTCCCCTATCAGGTCTCCGTAGATCGTGGTTCCTTCGGGACCCTGGTCCTGACACCTACCGTGGCCATGCTGACGCCTGCTGCTGCCATCATCATCATCATTATTTTAGATATTAATCATATTACTTTACTCATAAACCGACATTACCCTCTCCTAAAATCTCTGTGCTCTCCCTCCCCACAGGCTTCTGTGGATGGTGGTTCTATCTGATGGTGGTTGCCCCTGCAGTGGTCCTGCTGTGCGCCTGGCTTACTACTCACAATTACTTGAATCATTTCTGTCATAGGAATTGCATGTATTATACATTGTTCATTCTGTACACATGGCATCCATTGTAGTCTGTCCATCCCGGAAGTGGGATCCCTCCTCTGACGTTCTCCCTAAGGTTTCTTCCCTTTTTTCCCTCTTGTAAGGGTTTTTTCATTCTTTGGGGAGTTTTTCCTGTGCCGATGGTGGGTTTCGGGGCAGAGGATGTTGTATGTGTACAGACTGTAAAGCCCTCTGAGGCAAATTTGTAATTTGCGATTATGGGCTATACAAAATAAAATGACTTGACTTGACTAAACTCTGAGTTGATTTACCCTGAGATGGGAAACTTGGTGGAGTTTTGGGTTTCAGAACAACTGTTTAGAGTTGGTTCAATCAACTCTGAGTAGGGTGACTCAGAGTTGAACGTGTGCACCACCACAGTATGAAGGCAGCTTGAATGGAGCCATGATACCACGATTCACCGTGGCAACAACCACAAACAATTGGTCGGCATACTTCAGCTGGATGTATTAATGCAAGCATACGGCGAGTATGAACCCGTAATTAGAAAAAAAGCAAGACTGCTACTGCAGCAAAAGACAGAGAAACTGTGTGAGAAAATTGCTGTAAGTTACAATATAGTGTTGTCAGTTAATATTTAATGTACACACAAATCATAATCCATAAGTTTTACTAATTCCCAGTTTTTACACTGTTCGTTAGATAGGCTTGAAATACACACCCATGCTCATATTTAATCACAAGAATAATATCGCTGGTTAAACCTGGTTCAATGGTATTGAACCTATAATGTATTTTATTCAGGTGCAATCCTGTGGAACTCCTCTTTAATGGCTCTCACTGGTTTGTGTCCAGGGAACAAAAACGTTTAAAAGACGTTCCAGAGCGAGGCACTTTTCTAACGGCTCTGCATACAGCAGCTTTACTAATATTCTAATGTTGTAAAGAAAACTGCCGTTTGCAAAAAAAGTAATACACTACACAAAGAATGTGCTCGGACGGGAGAGCATGTCCACGATGGGTGACGTTAGTTATATGAGGACGGGTGAGGTTATGTACATATTTGATGGACTGTGAAGAAAAACGATACCGTTCAAACCAGTAGTTATCTGGAAAAGACAATATATCTAATCAGGGTCTCAATATTCTCCCGACGTGTTTAACACCATGCAAAGTAAAACCGCTTCTTCATCAACAGGATCGTCCAGAAAAGGACGTGCCATGTTCGAGAAAACACTTTAGTTTTTTAAACGTAACATGTTATTTTGTGCGTATGTGGAAACTGCGCTACAATCTGCCTTATACAGAGTAACTGAATGAATGATGAAATTAAAGTGTGCTATGTGATTGGCTGGGCTGCTGTCAGACGAAGGAGACTGAAAGAAACTCAAGGTTTATTGAAGAAAACCTGCTCCCGACCAGGTTATGTTCACAGGCTCAGTTACCATAGCAACTGACCCTGAGCTTTAGTTACTTCCCTTTCTGAAACAGACAAGCCAGAGTTTCCCTCATCTCAGGGTTAACAAACTCTGAGCTTCCGCTAAACCCGCTTCTTGAAACAGACCCCTGGGCCCTGTTCCTCGTACGTAGTTCAATTAAGTCGATCAAAGCAGCTCAAATGAACCTGCGTTGGAGCAGGTTGAAGTTTTTTCATGTGTTGGTATGGTGATTTAGCCAAACCTGCTTCAGGGAACCGAATAGCCTGATCTACGTCATCTCATCCTGAAAATTATCTGGGGCCCTGATCCCTTACAGTTTGGGTTTACAGCTAGTAAAACTTGAGTAGTTGCTTTTGATGGCTTAAAAGCCAATCTAAGTGCTTTCACAAGGTAAAGCCTCCCATTTGTTAAATTTGATTAGAGAGGAAAAATAATGAAAAAAGGCATGGAAATTAAAGTTATATGAAGGACATTCACTGTACTCTCCCTAGGCGAACATGAACACACGTTATTGCTCCTGCAGTATGTTATAAACTGCTGTTCATTACAAACAAATTTCCCCCTGCCTGATTGACAGAAGAGTCATTGCTGCCAAAATATATTTTTATAAGTGGAAATTACTGTGGAAAGAGGGAGCCGATCCATAAACATTTTAAAGCTTGGCTGGTTTTTACAGCTATTTAAACTTGAGTGCTTTTGATAGGAAGCGTGAATCAATGCATCTTCAGTCACCTGTGTGCTTTGAAAAATAAATTGAATATGCACATCATTTGTCTTATGATTAATGAAACACCGTCTGGACTTTTTGATTGATACATTATTTGGCCTCAAGTCTTCTTTGATAGCCAAGAGTTGAAAATACAACATTGAGATTCTAAACTCTAGAGTCTAAACTCTTTCATTAACACTTTACCTATCCAGCATCACTATCATGTATTGTTGGTAATTTTAGCCAATTAAAAACCATAAAATGTGACAAACACAGTAAACAGTATGGAGCATGCTGTAAGCATTTCAATATCATGCTTTATTATTTAAGCTTATGTTAAGTTATATACAGCCATCCTAGCATGACCTGATAATAGTTAACTCTCCAACAAATAGCATTACATAATTATCAACGGACACAGATTAACATCAGATAACATCACAACAAGCATGTGGGATTGGCTAGCAAATGGGTTACAAACACACATATTACCAAGTGTGTGCAGGGCTCAAGACTAATAGGGTACCAATAGAACATGTGTTCAGTTTCAACTGATATCTTCCCCAGGAGACCTCAGGGAGGAAAGTGAATGTATACATGTTTGACGCCTCCCAAATATAATTGTAGGGGAAACACTAATGTATGTGTGCACGTGTATATGTGTGTGTGTGTGTCTGTACACATACGCATGTATATATGTGTGAACATAAGTGTATATATATGTTTGTTTTCAAGGGGAGCTTAGCTCGTGAGAAAGTGATTCTTCCAACGCATTTGGCTAACAAATAACTTCCACAAGAAGCTAGAGAGAGCAGTTTCATATGACAACACAAACAATTTATTGGGATTAACTGGCTGTATAATTTTGTCTTGTCTATTTTATAAAAGTAATTTGAGTTTAAAATCAACCCTGTTCATGATATCTTTAATAGGTTATGTTTTCTTCAATATTGCTTGTAATAATAAAATATATATATATATTATGAAATATATATGAGAAATATGCCAAAATGTATTTGTTATATTAAAAAGGTGGTCAAAATGTATTTTTGACCATATGAAATCAATTTCATTTCTACTTATCAGCTAAAAAAGTCTGGCTATAAAGCAAAATGCATTTTTTTATTCTGTCACTAAAAAATACCAGATTGTAACTTCAAAGTAAGCAAATGTAATTTTGATACAGGACAGTTTGCATTCCCTTTGGGAGGTTAGTCGGGAGCCCCGATTGTGGCAGCTATGTACATGATTGATTGAAGACAACACCAAACAAAATCTATGCAGCAACGAGGGTACGCCAATCTTCTCTAATCCAGAAATATCGAAAGAGTTTTAAACTGTACATTTATTATTGCTTTATTCCCCAGAGGTTAAATAAAAGTTCAATTAAATAAAACTTGCCATGTAGTTTTCTGTAGTCACACCGGGGTAAGCAAGATCAAAACGGGTAACCAGTGCAGGCTGCAGGCAAAAAAATGACAGGACAAGATCACTATTCAGTATACTTGGGTAAAGAGGGGCAGTGAGCCTAATGAACAGTGCTAAAAAAACAACATTATTAATTATTAGCCCTTCACTTGTTGATTGGGAGGAGGAGGGAAACATATTCAAAGCAGTTAAGATTGGATGAGCATGATGAGAAGGAGTGGATTGCTCTGGCTTCCTGCATCATTTACTGATGTTCCTTAAATTGACTGAAGAACGGTTTGTTGTAAAATAAATATTACAAACATTCCCAACCAACGGCCAAAATAACTTTGCACTATACTTATAATGTGTCCAGTAGAACGTCACCTCTCTAGGGGGGAGGAGTCGGAGCTTGTGCAGGAGGTAGAGTGCCATCAGTTAGATCGAGGGTGGGGATACTCAAAAGTCCGCGGATGAGTGCTACTACATTGGGTGGTTACCCTCAAACACCGTGGTGAACGCTGGTGGTCAGGGAAGCCATTCAACTGCAGAAGGAAGTATTCAAGGTTATGATATCTGGTGGGACTCTGCCCCGGGGAAGACCCAGGATGAGGTGGAGCGGTATATATCTCTACACTGACCTAGGAGCGCCTTGGGATCCACTCGTAGAGCTGGTAGATGTGGCGTAAGGGACGTTTGGGGGTCCTTTGCTGGAACTGTTGCCCCCGCAATCCAACCCCGCACAAGCAGTTGAAGATGAGAGATGGTCTTTCATTTTGGTTAAAGTCTTTGACTTTGGAGATATTTTTTACAGTATGGTAATGAGTCAGATACAAACAGCTATCGTTTCATGGCACTACACTGGCAGAGGGTGTAATTTCTAACATGTTAAAAGGAGACGTTGAGGATTATAGAATCTGGTTTTACGATCAGATAAAAGCATAAACATCATCATTTAGCAGCAAGCCAGGAAGGAAGTGCTGTGTTCAGTCACATGTGATCCTACTGTAATGCTGCTGGCTATTAAAGATGTCTTCATTAAATCAAGGTCAAGGCCAAGTACCCCATCAAATGCATTCAAACCAACGTAATTTCATTAACAATTAATTTAGTATGATCAAGTATAAGCACCCGGGCTCACATTTTTTAATAACCAGAGATTGCGGTGGAATTTGAAAGTGTAACACTTCAAGGGATCTATTAGATGAAAATTGAATACAATTTTCATTTCTGTGGTTTCATTTGTGTATAATTACTTGAAACTAAGAATAGTTAAATGAGCCCTTCATGTCTAGGTAGAATCCTGGTCCTCTTCAGGGAGCCATGTTGCACCACCTTGATTCTACAGTAGGCCAGAAAAATGGAGCCAAATCCAGGTCAAAAGTTTTGTTCATTTGAAAAACAAAATTTGAACGAAATTGGCTTATTTGAGAAAACGAAGTTTTGTTGTTGAACATTGAAAAATACAACAATGTATTCAAAATAAAAATAAGTGGACGAAAAATATTTTCGGGTTGAATATAGTTTTTTAATAAAATATTTATTTTCAATCTTCACTTATATATTTTTTGATATTCACTCTATTGTATTTTTGGGTTGCAGATTTTATATTTTCAGATTCAAAACACATTGACGTTGGATCTGTGGGAACCTAAAAGGAGATTGAGACCCCTGCTCTAGAGAGAATTTATTACATTTTTAATAGTTGAATTTATATGGTTGTAAAAAACTCACCAGCTTTACTTTTCATTTCCAACATTGCCCTCTGCTGGCTCAAACCATACACAACCCTCAAACACAATTCTTCACAGTGAAGTCCACCTGCTAGCTAAACCGCTGTCAACTCTTCGACGTCACTCTCTTATTGCTCTTGCACAATGTGCATAAAACGTGGTTTTTTTTCATTCAACTTGGGAGTTGAACTCCTTTTTGGGCAATAGGATGTTAGAGTCTAGGTCTAGATGCAACAGCTCTCCATGAATAAAAACAAAGGGAAAGGTTGGGAAAACAATCTTAATAGGAAGAGATACAGTATTTCATAATAGTACCTTCCAATGACACACACAAACTGCGAGCTCACAACTAGCTTTTTTCCACCAATGTGTGCTTCTGTGGAACAAGAAAGCACATCAAAATAGAGAAATAAAAAATAGAAGGAAAACCCTTTTTGTGAAGTATCCAAAAACTAGACTCTCCAAACATCTGCCAATCAATACACAAACACACACATTAATATTATACAAAACAAACTATGGATCACACTTGGTAGTGGCAACATTTAAGCTAAAAAGACAAAACTGAGGAGGCAGAGAGATGGAGACAAGACCATGATGGCAGGCGGTCGTAGGGCTGAATGGCCTGGAGGGTCATTGTTTCTATGCCAGGTGCAAAAGCTCACACATGTTATGGAGTGTGAGTGTGTGGCACTAACCTTGAGAGGAGAGATGTGGGAATGGGACACGTAGCCATGCACATTCTCGATCTCAGACAGGTTCTTCTCGGACACGTGCACAAGCTCAGGGGCGCGCACCTCGTTGGTAAGTCGTGGAAATCCCTGGTCAAGAGGCGGAGAGTCATCTTCTTGGTAGTGGTACTGCTGAGAGAGGTAAAGAGAAAAGGGTGGACATCAAGGGACAGTGAGAGACAAGGACATAGCAAAGGGATGAAATACAACAACTAAAGGAAGTCTGGGCATTGTGTTCCCGTTCTCAGAAAGGATAAAGAATAATTCATCTTGAGTTTTTTACATTACATTTTAAATGTTTCCTTTTCCTTGTTTGGTTTGATTCTTTAATATTACAGTTACAAAAAGAATGATGTTGAAATGTTAATGTTTTTTTACATCAACATGGACCCGAGTAACAGCAAAGATTCACAATGAAGTCATGGGGTATTTATTTAATGCCATTATTTATGAATATAAGTTATGTGTGGAGTGTGAATTTAAACTTTCGTGACTTTGAATATATATTTATCTGACTAGGTCAATATGGTTGAAAAGATGTGTTCACTGCATTACAAGGAATTTAAAACTATAACTTACACATCTCGTCAGAATCCAAACTTGATTTGGTTTTAAATCACTTACTCACTCAGCAGTCATTTTCTACTAAACTTACCCAATATAACAACACCACTGACAGTGGCTTCAAAATAACTAGGTGCTTGTCTCTTCCATTATAAGCTTTACAAACGTATGCTTTTAATCACTTCAGTTCAATCACAATCTGGGAAACACTTTTATATACAGCACATAAGCAGTGTATGTAAAAACTGTTCATAATATGTTGTGGGATTCTTTTCATGAAATTTCACGAGACATCATAATAATTACATCCTGAGGCCTTTCCTTTGTGTGGGAACATTTCTGAACAATCCCAAAAAATCCAATAATTAAATTTATGTCACGTTTTCTTAATACCCAACTTTAGCCACATTAGATTGATATGAAACAAAATGGATCCCTGGTTACAATGTAAGTAGCGTGTTGACAGACATGTCTATTGCAGTCTAAAAACAGTAATATCAGAGATGGTCATAATCATCTAAAGTGAGACAAAACAAACATAGGGTAGTGTGAATCAGAAGTCAAATCTCAAATCAGAGAGCATCATCATGACAAAATATCATTTGAACAACTTGACTGGGGAAAATGAAAGATTAATCATGACTCCTCATATATGATTTCAGCAGAGAAATTACTGCAATTCATCGAGAATGATTCTTTGGGTTTGGATGGTGTGAAAAGTTTTACCCCACTCCCCCCCTTTTCTCACCCAAGGAGCCCTCATCAAAGCTAGGTTCATGCAGGTTGGGGTCTGGCTGTTGTGGGGCGACCCCTGTACTGCTGGGGGCCTGTTCTGGAGAGAGCAATAGGATCATATGTAACCACCAAGAGCAAAAGAAATGTAGTGCAAAAACAATCAGTCACGTCCAAAATGCTGAGCATTCAACCAGTTAATTATACAGGAGCAAGATGCTCAGAGGAATTGGCATATACTATACAGTACTGTGTGTGCCAGCATTTTGTACAAACACAACAGGCTCGACAGATACAAACTAAAACACTCACAGCTAACCAATGGCAAGACAGAGCAACAATCCATGACAGGGTGAAACTAGAAAAAGTCAAATGGAATAGTTGGCTAGTATATCTGTGATAAAGAGGGCACTGCTTGACACAATTCTCATAAAATAGAAACAAACAAAAAAAACGACCCACTCAAACATATTGTCAACACAGCGGGACTTCATTCTCTAATGTGAATATGGAGAATATCTGGGAACATTTGACCAATACAACTACAAAATAGGGAGAGCATGCCTTTCAAAACAATAACAGAACATTGTCTTGTGGATACAAAAGAGTCCAATCAATCCCAACACCACTGAGATTATTTTTAATAATAAAGGTGCGTTCTGATGTCTATGCAGACACACCTGGGGCAGGTGATGTATCAGCTTCTGAAACTAGAAATGCGTTCTGTAATTCTGCCATAGCTGTATTATTATGCGTGCATTATCTATTGTATAATCTGTTGGAGTACATATATTTATATAAATTAGGGCTGTCAATACATTCTAAAAAATTGACTAATTAATTGCACATTTTGAAATTCATTAATCTTGATTAATGGCGATTAATGAATGTTGTTGTTGTTGTTGTTATTACAATGTTGTTTTTAATGAATGTTTTTTTTCTTACAAGTAATGAGTAATCACTTTACGCCACTGTATGGCGTGCCTCTGTTTGTTTTACTCCCAATGCAAAAGTTCTGTCTGCCAAGCACTAGGGTAAAATAAAAGCTCAATACCGATCAATGGAGACGAGAGTACTAGAACATGAAATTCTTGCGAGCCACGATTCAGAGGTATCACTCGGACAGGTGACCCTCATCAAAATAGGAGAAAGAGAAGTGGAGGTTGTTATTAATAGTGCTAAAAGTTGTCACGGTTTGGGTTCACTTCTTGTTTAATTTTGTAGTTCTGCATCATATCTCCCTGGGTCACGTCACTTCCTGTCTTGTCCTGTCTTCCCCTGTGATTGTCTGTTGATTCATGATCGTTTGACAAGACTGAACTACTTCTCTTCCCGGGAAAAAGACTCTCCGACCCAGGACTTGACGGTCAACTTTGGCAACTCTGTGCTAACGCCCACTCTGACCGCAAGGAACCTCGGCGTCAAACTCGACTTTCCCTGACTCCCAACATCACTGCGACAACACGATCCTGTAGATACACGCTCTACAACATCGGGAGAATACGTCCCCTTCTCACTCAGAAGGCAGCGCAGGTACTGATTCAGGCACTTGTCATCTCCCGCCTGGACTATTGTAACTGTCTCCTGCGGGTCTCCCCACTACCACCATTCGACCTCTGCAGCTCATCCAGAATGCCGCAGCTCGACTGGTCTTTAACCTTCCGAAATTCTCCCACACTACTCCACTCCTCCGCTCTTTTCACTGGCTACAGGTGGCTGCCCGCATCCAGTTCAAAACATTGGTGCTCACGTACCATGCTGTGAATGGATCGGGTCCAGCTTACATCCAGGACATCGTCAAACCCTACATCCCGACCCGCACTCTCCGCTTTGCATCTGTCAAACTGCTCGTGAGCAGAGGTTGTTTGTTTGACTTGTTTTGAATGAAGGGCCAGTGGTGAGCTAGGCCTCGTTTTGTTATATTCATTTCATTTGTTTGGCACAACCTGTAGGTCCCATCTTCCACCATCTCCCTCCCTCCTGTTGGGAGCCATCTTTTTGTGTAAGAATAAAAACTAGAAAGACACCTTTTACCCTGACTCTGTCGCCTGTCTTTGATTGTTGTTTTACTATCCTGGAATCTACAAAAGGGCCGTAACAGGCCACCAGCTCTGAAACTGGTTCTGGCCTGTTGATGGCTGCCGAACATGGGCCAAATCTGGCTTCATAGGAACGACCCTATTCGGGGTGAGACATGGCAGCTGGGTTTATCGGCAACCAGCACTGAAAAAGGCTTCGGCCCATTAATGGCTGCCAGATCTGGCATTATAGAATCAGGCCTATTCAGACTAAGACATGTTGTCTGTCGAGTTGCTAAGGGACATAGACAGCAGATTTTTGTATTTGTGAATACAATGTGCACCGTTCTCAAATCTAAGATGACCGTGGATGGCAGCCTTGGTCTCTCCTTTTTTAAGCTTTTAGCAGTTTTTAGCTCTCAGCTCTCTGGTTGCATTCACTAGGGAATACCTTTAGAACACTCAAGCAAGCTTTCAACTTAACTCAGAAGAGTATTTAGCCCGCTAGCCCCAGTGCTCCCAGGTTCGGGCCACAGCGGTCGGTCTGCCTGCCACATTGCTAGCCAGTACGAGCTGTTTACCCTGCCAGGATATTTCCGTCTGGTTAGCAGACCTGTAAAGGTTGTCAGGCTAACAGCCTGTAAACTCTCTGAACTACCAGCCTGCTAGTCTGAGGACCTTATGGCCCATCTCACTCTCGATCAGGACAGTATCCCAGGAACTCATGTTGTAAACCGTATTTGTTTGGATTCAGCACCCCACTCCTCAGAAGGGGGAGGCACATATTGTGACGCCTAAGCCAAAGGAGGAATCCTTTGAGTTGCCTTGAAGCATGGCTTGTATGCGTTTCAACTGCTTCATGTTTGAGAGCATTTAATAAAAGGTCCTGTTCAATGATTTCACACCGATGTCAAGTAAAAAACTGTTTCCTATAGAGTTTTGTCTTGATTTGCTTCATACAATAAGTATAGACAAATTGATTATTCAGGTTCTGCCCCTACTTCAAGTGTGCCTGAATGACCTCGAAGTCATGTTTTAAATGAAGCTTAGGCGTAAATTCAGTCAAGACAGCTTACAACGTAGATGGTGTTGTGATGTCAACTGCGCAAATGTCCGGTAATATCTTGATTTTAATTGGTTCATGTTTGATACGTAATGTAGATTATTACTGTAAAGGACCTCTGAGAGGGTGGATTATTTCAATATATTGTTACTTTTTTGGTGTGTTTTATTTTGGCCATTTTGTTACGGCAGTTGGTGTATATCCAGTTGCCCTTTTATTTTGAAGGTAGGAAACCTGAAGTAAAAACGAAAAGATGGTAAAAGATGGGAAAGGGGTCGTCGTGGTGCAGGGGTTAGAGAAGGTGTGCTGGGAAGCACAAGGTTGGTGGTTCGATTCCAGGCTGCCCCATGTCGAAGTGTCCCTGAGCAAGACACCTAACCCCTAATTGCTCCCCGGGCATAAATGTGAAAAAGCCATGGGTTTAAAGTGTAATGTAAGTCGCTTTGGATAAAAGCGTCTGCTAAATGACCTGTAATGTAAAGGGACGGGAAACGAATATTAAAGCAAGGAAAGGGTTACGGTTTTATTAGTTTAGCACCCGGTTGACAAGGTTAGTATCTGTTCAAGTTTGTAAAATATTGTCTTGGTTGTTACGTTTTTTCTGTTCTGTGTAAGATGCTAATCAGTGTTCATATTTATTTTTTCTCTTAGCTCTTACAGTGTGTTCTTTAAGAAACCATCAGTTTAAGATACAATACAGGATCAAAGTGCGCATGCGCAACATGTTTTCTTTGCTCGTGCTCTGCCATGAATGGACGGTGAAAGCACTGCTTATTCTACCATTTCTTTGTATTTGATTATGCGGAACGGCATCGTAACGACTAAACAATTGGAATAACACACATATTGCATATATAATTCTAAGAATAAACAGTAAAAATACATATACAGGTTTATTAAATAAAATAATTTAATAAACATTTTTATGTTTTAATTTTGGCAGGGTAGGCAGTGCCAGCAAGCAAGTGGCGAACAGCTGTTTGTGTAGCTGGCAGTCCTTTTCGGGGTCAATGAACTAATAGCCCTAATATGGACACCATATAAAGAAAAGGAAGGGACGGGTTGATCCCATCATCTTTTGATAAGCGAGCAGATTTGTATAGAATTCTATACAAAATCTCCCTTTAGAGTCTAAACTCCATTTGATTTGTATACAATTATAACAGTACAATATGAGTAATACAGCGTATGATGCATATGCTTTTCTGTCAGGTATTTTGATGTTCAGTTAGAGGAACTCCCCACATTGTGAGGCCTCTGAACATTGGGGTTAGTAGGATGCTGTTGCTGTGGGGCCGGTCGGGCCGAGCTGTTTGAAAAGAATCCCTACTCACATGTAGTGTTGCTATGCTCCACTGAGAGGACCCCTTCTCTATGATGTTAACTACAGCAGAATCAAGATGAGATGGAAATGCAGGCTGGCAGGACCAAGGGCCGATTCAGAGCTACATTCAACCCTACAGTTAGACTGTCTTCCCCCATTTTCAGCTACAGTCCTGATTCCTACGGACAGAAGGGGGGAGAGCTGAGCCACTGGGGAAAAAGAAAGGCCCCTTCCCTGTGTTTTTTCTCAAACATTGCTGTTTCTGTCTTTCTGTCTGTCTTTCTAGTATTTTTTTTTTAGCTTCTGTGTCAGACTAATTTTAGGTAGGTCGATTTTTTTATCCACAGGCTGTTGGATGTACAGTATGTTATTCCTAGATTATATGGAATCATTCTATGGTTCCAGATAAGTGGCAATACTGTATTACCACAGCACAGGTAGGGTTTGAATCAGATACTGTACAAGAGATATTTGGTTTCTATAAGTAACTAAGTGATGAGAAGGGCTAGACGAAGGAAAAAGGGACCAGAGCAAGAAAGATATATTAACATCTCCCTTTTAAAATGACTGATATAGACATGTCCATTCATTTTAAAACTTGTGGATGGAAGTAGAGGAAGAAAAGCACTTTTTGAAACTAATTCTCCGGGGACAGAACAAATGATGCGAGACAATGAAGTTGAGGTCTGAATGGC